TTTGAGGGCGGTAAAGAAGGAGGAGCTTGCAAGCGCTGGCAGGGCCAGCATTTCTGCATTGCAGTTATCGTTTCGTATGCTAAAATTGCTAGGGCCGAATTTTGAGCTTTTTTCGGCATTCAACATGTCCATGTCGCACACCCCACGATTTACAAGGTTTCGTGGCCACAGAACAGCTTCGGAAACAACAGGTTTCGCATCATTGTGGAGAAGCAGCATAAGCACTTGGACCCACTAAAACCAGTGCTTTTGACATTTGCATTTTCGCAGAATTTGCCCTATTGAAAGTTTGCGTCTCAGGCGCCGCAGGTGGTGGCATGAAAAGTAGCCACCGTAGCATGTCGGTAATCTTCCAAATCCTGCGTAGTCTAGCTCAAGTAACATTGAGCCCCCTTTGCTATCCTCCAAATCCTGAATAGTCTAGCTCAGGCATCATGGAGCCCCCTTTGCTATCCTCCGAATCCTGAATAGTGTAGGTTAAGTATTATTGTGAGGCTCAGAGCGGTAACCGATCCCCTTTTGCTTCGCATATCTGAGCCGATTCCAACTTTGCGCACTTTCAGTCATTTCACCTGGCCTATAGGGGTTTTATTTTCCTTTTGCTACTTTGCTTGCACTCTTTATATTGACACTTTTGTTTCCTTCATCCTGTTTATTAAGATATTTAGCTCCAGCGCCGTCATGGAAGCTGATGCAGCCAAATCCGAGCCGCCTCCTACAGCGAATACTGCGCCCACTGAAGCGACTCCATCTTCTGGCGATCCTCCAGGGCTCTTGACAGCAAAGCCTGAGGCTCAACAAGTTAGCAGACCAGAAGCTCCTGCTCTGGTAGATACTGTACTCTTGGGTCCTGATTCTGACGAACTTTTGCTTCATGTGTAGACCCCGATTTTGTAAAGACACAAACATGTTTTCACGAGTGCATGGAAGATCCATGTTGCATGATCGCATTAAGGCTCAGAGTTCGTGCTGAAAAGGAGTGATTTGTTCATGGTAGCGGAGCACTGGCTGTCCAGTGCTTCGAGACACGTTTCAGGGCCAGGGGTTGAGTTCAGGGGCCCAGGCTGGAAGATTTTCGTCAGTGCTTCTAGGGTTGGTCTGTGAGTGTAGATTTCCTCTCGAGCCATTGTGTGTGGCGGAAGGCAATACAAGAGTGAGTGCAGGACACAACTGTGTCCGTCCTTTGCAGCCACGACCACGGCTGAGGGAGTAGATCGATTAAAGGATCTTCTTTTGGGAATTTACAGTGAACAGCTTTATTCCAGACCTAAGCCTCCAAATAGGAGCCAGAAAAGTTTCGATTCCATTCTTCATACAAGCTTCAAGGCCTGCAGCAGCAGACTTCAGGAGTTGCATACTGTGCCAAGTGTGTGGGCGTTTGCGTCTAAGTGCCTTAGGGAGCGTGAGTGGAAGGAGAAATTCCAAGCTGCAGGTGCCGAAATCTGTTCGAGCAATTGCATCGATCAGGATCTTCAACTTGCTTTCGTGAACGCAATGGAGGAGCCTCCTGATTTTGAGAAGTCCCTTGATTTTAGTCTTGAGACGTTTTCAGTGCACTTGAGATCAGACGTTGATTGCATCGATCTTGATCCAGCCACCGGTTCCGTGCCCCAGAGTGATCGTGTTGAGCCCAATAGTTTTCAAGTTTCGTTGCGCAGCGCAGAGAAAGTGATTGATTTGGACTAGCCCTTTGCAAGTTTCAATGGCGCAAGTTCCAGATAGTGACGATGAGGAGTTAGAGATGCCGACAGGCGCAGCAGGTAGCCAGCAGTTCCCGCAGAATCCTTTCAGCCCGACAGGTTCACCATCAGGTGCGCCAGGTATCACCATAGGTGCAGCAGAGCTGCAGGCCATGATCCAACAGATGGCCGCAGTGATCCAGGCAGCTTCTGAGGCTGCTCGAGCAGCTCTAGCCGTGACGGCCCGGAGCAGCACAGGTACATCAGGCCTAGAGTCCAGGGATCTGTTGAAGATACTTCCCCGGCCAGAGGCATTCAAGGTAGATAAATTGGAGGATGAGCACTCCAGATGGGTCACTTGGTGGTGGTCCTTCAGACAGTATCTTTGTGCTATCGATCATCATTTTGATGAAGAACTGCGTGCCTTAGAAGGCAACTTGCGCACAGAAGTGGTAGTGAATAACGCAGCCACGCAAGCCCGCAATTTTCAGCTTTACGCCCTCTTGTCATCCTTGATGATCAAGGGTCGCGCGTTCCAGATTGTGAAACAGGTGTCCGGACAACGCGGATATGAGGCACTCAGGTTGCTTCTTCTTCAGTTCCAGCCTCCCGGCAAGGTCCGCAGCCTAGGCATTTTAAGTGCTTTGACCCAACTGAAGGGTTTTAATACTAAGGAACCTTATTTGCCCCAGATTTTGGAGCTTGAAAGAGGTTTTGAGCAGTATGAG